TCACTCCCTATTCACATGATCCTGGTGGCACAGCCTCTTGCACACTAGGCTCTGTGGTGTCGGTGTTTGTTCCTGGGCTACAAAACTCCCCAACATGTTGGTTTACCAAATCCTGCAGTTGACAGTGCTTTAGGTTTATTATTCCAGCACCACTGCTCACACACAGGAATCTCATAAAATAGACACTCATATATGTGTCACCTATGTGACCAACATGTCCTTGAAGAAAACCTTGTTGTGTCCACCTGAGTGTATATTAGACAAGCCAGCAGTCTGTATTTCAGACAATGTTAACAATTGTTACAAATTTCTTATGATCATTAGGCTTAGCAAATTACTTTCTTGACCATTATAAAGTCTATTTGGGAGATTTATAAAATTCTGCAAGGCTACCATTTGGAAGAGGTGACCTTTGGTGACATTGAGTTATTCCTAAGATACACATATCTTTCCACTTACCCCTTTCTGCTTTGATATTATTAGAACTATTGGAAATTTTTTGTTTATCAGTCATTGTTCCTGTTTGTTGGTTGGGTAAATTTTGTCTGGAGTAAACTAGTTGCAGCCTTCTAATTTTTCTCAATCCCCAGTGAACACATTGTGATCACCTAGTTGAATTTTTTCTATCAGAAAAGCTTCCAATCTCCTGTAGCAGAGGGTTGGACTTTGTTTGTTTGTTGCTTGTTTGTTTTGTTTTCAGATGGGTGGTCCTTTAGGTTCTAAGGTAAGAATAGAACAAAATAATCAGATTTCTGAAGGAAGGCATGTGTTCAGTAACAACCATGCTGTTTATCTATACTCTCAGCACTATTGATACTGCTGGTTACTGGTGATGAGTTCTGCTCCCTCATATGTTGAAGTCTGAACATTGGAGAAGCACGCTGAGGCAAGCATATAAAGCAGGGTTTATTTTAAAAGGGGGTCACATAGACTTCTCCCTCTTGGGAGAAGAGGGCCATGGCTGGTATCCTGGTATCCCCAGAAGTGAGATGTTCTGCCCTTTTTTATATGTCCTAGGCTTCCTCTGTTCTCCTGCCCTCTTCCTCTTATCTTTCTCTTCCAGTAATGCTCTGTGGGATGGCCCAAAGGTGGGACACAGGTGGGCTGTTGGGAAAGGGTAGGATGGTGTAGCCCAGGACACATTAACAATCTTATAGCTCCCTGTAGGGAGGGGCAATTCCTGGGGCAGGTTACCTTGCCTACAGGTTGGAGCAGGGGCAGGTTCTTGGTAAGGGTGGAGGAATGGCTCTGAAGGAATTAATTCCTTAATTCAGTGGCCTTTCAGGATGTGGCTGTGAACTTCACCCAGGAGGAGTGGGCTTTGCTGAATTCTTCCCAGAAGAATCTCTACAGAGGTGTGATGCAGGAAGTCGTTAGAAACCTGGCTTCTATAGGTAAAGATAATGTTTTATTACATAATCAAACACTGAGTAACTGGGAGCTTTTTTTTAAACATCAGAAATTTATTAGTTGCTCAAAACATTACATTGATCTTGACATATCATATATCATACATTTGTTTCAAATGGGGTATGAATTCTTATTATTCCCACGTGTACAGATTTCAGGATCACATTGATTATACAGCCACGTTTATACATACTGCCATACTAGTGTCTGTTGTATTCTGCTGCCTTTCCTATCCCCTTTCTATTCCCCCTCCCCTCCCCTCCCCTCCTTCTACCCCATCTACCATAACTCATTTCTCTCTCTCTCTCTCTCTCTCTCTCTCTCTCTTCTCATCGCCTCACATCCTCTTATATGTATTTTTGTAT